CTCTCTTGCCCAAACACACGCAATCACACTCACACACGCACGCACGCACGCGCACTCACCCAAACACACGCAACCATGCACACATGACATCAACTGTCGACACCTTCCTCCTCCTGGCCCCAACACGTGACTGTCGTCATTGGGTGACATGACGTGTTTGTTTCCTGGAACTCGGCTTGGGTTATTGCATTCACGACTTTCATTTCCCCCCCCCCTCCACAACACACACACACACACACACACACACACACACACACACACACACACACACACACACACACACACACACACACACACACACACACACACACACACACACACACACACACAACACCACCATCATCCATCCATATCCGTCTTTGTTCTGCCGTTGCTGTTTCCTGGAACTGGATCGTCACTCCGTTGGAAACCCCCTCCCCTCCCAATATGCAATGCAACCTATTTCCGTGAACAAACTGACCAAACCCTAACCCAATGCAGGTGTGGGAAGCGCTGGAGCTGTGCGTGTTCCAACTCCTGGTTGAAGAAAACGACATGCCGCCATCGCCACCAAAGCAACAAGCCGCGAAGCCAGCGAAGCAAGACCAGCAGCACGCAGCCCAAGAAGAAGATGAAGCAACAGCCGTCAGAGAAGAAGAAGCAGCAACGCCGCAATCGCAAGAAGCGCCCGCACAATCAGGTTGCACACCTTGCGGTAAGCACGATGACGATATGCGTGACACCATTTCGGGCGATTCGAATGCAAAACGAGCGGAAAAGATCCTTCAAGCAGTGGCGAAGTCGCAATTGCCGGCCTGGATTGGCCTCGTCACGAAAGTGCTTTCGCACAATTTGGGAAAATTGTATGACATCTTCGCAGATGTTCCCTAAACCAAGCGGGACAGGTTTTGCTTACGGTTGACCCTGGTTTTGTTGAAAGCTTCCAATAAACCTCGATTTCTCGTGTCCGACTGATGCAATGCTGGGTGCTGCACGACGCAAGCCTTCAACCTTGCATCAACCACGCCACACTTCTCACCCCCCAAAACACGGGATCAATTCCAAGAACTGGCTGTGCTCATCACCACCTACCCACACCACCACCCACACCACCCACCGCCACGCAACCACGCAAGCCCCACACACCTTTGCCAAGGACAAGCCACCTCATCACCGCCACCTGCTTCCCCTTGTGTCTTTTCATTTCCTCCCGTGCGACGTCCTTGTCGTTTGTTGATTGACGGCGTGAGGTGCCATCCATTTTCCAATCGTCCTCCTCCAGCAGAGTTGAGTCCTGCCCCCCCCCCCTCTGTCTCTCCACCCATCGTGCCCTCGCGTGCGTGGCGTGTGCTTTCTCCCTTGCCCATCAGCACCGAACTTCCCCAACTGGAACTGCTGGCATCTTTGCCGTCACCAGCATTCCAGCGTTCGGTTCCGTTCTCCACCCAAGTTCCAAAGCAACCACAAAACACGTGTGCAGTGTTGCCCTCACTTTGCTCGCACGTGCTCCAAGACGGCCCTGATCACAACCGCCTACCCCTTGGCTAAGTTTTGCCACCCCCACCCCCACACAAATACTCAAGACGAGCGGCAGCTTTCATCACGCACTTGCGTGTGGACTCGTTTAATATTACCTTGCTTTCCCCACATTGCATCACCTGTTTGAACACCCCGCTGCACAACAACATCAACAACAACAAAACCCGGCCTCCCCTGACCATCTCCCTCCCTGCTGACGACCACCGAGACCACACCAGCGACTACACCTGCCAACAACAGCCACCCAGCCAGCACTCTCATCCTTCCCGAAGCAGACCGAACAGAACAGTGCTTCTGTGGCATTCCAAAGGTGCGCGAGGCTGAGTGGAGTTGAGTGAGTGGGGTTGAGTGGAGTTGAGAGTACGTTGTGCGTCTAGTGTGTGCCAACCCCTGTTTTTGCCCTAGGGCTTTAGTTTTCAGGTTGCATTGGTGTCGCATGCTTTGTCACAAAGAGTGCGTTGCGCGTCTGTTGTCGTGTACTCGAGCACTTGCACCTGTCACATGATGCTATGCGCCCTGGCACAAACGCACGCGCTGCACACCGCACATCTCCCTGCACTCCACATCTCCCACAACAACAACACCATTATCCACTCACCTCACGTCTACTTTGCGGCCACACGTCCCCTCCCATTTGACCAAACAGCACACGCGCCAGGACCGTCCGAACACGCAACCCCCCCCCCCAGGGTTCCCAAGCCACAAGCACCACAGCCAGCCATCGCGAAGCTTGCAGGCAGCCGCTTCGAAGGTCTTCAACTGCCACAACGACACCCAGCCTACGTCTTCGACACAAGGACATCCCCTGCCCTGGCACACTGCTGAGCAGAGCAGAGATGCCTCCCGAGAAGGAAATCCTGCAAGGCATGGACCTGGCCAGCCTCGCATCCACACACCTCGCGTACCTCCAGGAACAGCAGCAGCAGCAGCAGCAACAACACCTCGACCAGCCTGCTTCGGACACATCCGCAGCCGCTGAGCTTGTCCGCGCGAAACTCGACCTCATCAACTGGCTGCTGCTCCCAGAGGAACAGCAGGTGGTCACCGACAAGATTCGCCAAGCATGCAATGCCATTTCGGATGCACAGCACCCGCCATCGTCCTCGCCAACAGCGACAGCGGCAGACATCGACAGCGCCTTCGTCTTGGATGGACCTGCTGCGACCACAATCGCGAAAACAACAGCAGCACCCTCTACAGCCATGTCCTTGTCCACTTGCCCAAGTTCCAGCGTGGCCCACAGCAACGACCACAGGCGGCAGCAACAGCTGCAGCGGCGGCAGCCGTCATCAAGCTCCCTGCCTTCCATGGCAGCAACAACGGAGGCAGCGCCGACCACAACCACCGCTGCTGTGACGACCACAAGTACCGCCGCGTTGTGGCAGCAATCCCACGACAACGCTCCCATCTCCGACTTTGAAGCCGCGCTGGCCGCAGTGACCAAGCCATCGTCCGCGTCGTCGTCGTCGTCGTCGTCGGCGCTGCCCTCCAATTCCTCAGCTCGCCTCTGCGCGGCACACGGCAGAGCTGGACAGGCCCGTGTTCACACCGCCGCCACCTCGACAGCACCTTCCTCCTCATTGGCCCCATCAGGCACCACAGCCACGGCTTTCCCCCTGCCAACCCGTCAGCAGCACTACGGCCCACAAACCACATTTTCCTCGAGCACACAGTCGCAGCAGCAGTTTGGTGGTGGCGGCGGCGGTATCATCAGCGCTGGCAGCGTGATGCAGCAGCAGCAGCAACCACAGCAGCAGCAGCAGCAACCACAGCAGCAGCAGCAGCAACAACAACAACAACAGCAACAATTGTTGCCCCAGCCATTCGATGCACTGCTGTCGCAGGCGGGGCTCGCTGGGCTTCCCACTCAGGCAGCCCAGTGGCTTGCATCCCAGCAGCAGCAGCAGCAGCAACAGCAACCACATGAGCAGCAAGTGGCCGCAATGCAGCTGCTGCAGCAGCTTGTGGAGACACAAATGCAAACGCACGTGAACGAGCTGCAACAACAACTGAGTCACACGCAACTCCACCAGCAACAGCCACGACAGGCACAACCTGCACTGCACCCACAATCGCACCTGCAACCACAACAGCAACAACCACAACAACCACAACCATCGCCTGTGGTCACAAGCGATATCGGGTACACGGGTCAAGGTGAACTGGACGGCATTCCAGCACCGTACTCTGACGTGCTGGCGCAGATTGATGCTGCAACCGCCACCTCGTCCTCCGCGCGACAGGGCGCATCGTCGCCATCGTCGGCGTCGTCGAGTGCCCAGCAGGCGGCGGAGACAATGCGACAGCAAACGGAGGACAGTGACGAGGAGGAGAAGGGCGAGCGGATCCGGTGTCCTGTGTGCAACGGTCGCGGTCGGGACAGTGACAGCAACATCTGTGGCGTGTGTTACAACGGCGTCTACAATGACATTAAGAAGTGGATCAAGGTGCTCAACACCAGCGGATTGGACAGCATCGCCGTCACAGACTTTGCAAAAGGTGTGTGCGTATGTTTGTGTTTGTAGGTGCGTATGTTTGTGTGTGTAGGTACGTATGTTTGCTTTGTGTAGGTACGTATGTTTGTGTGTGTATGTGCGTGCGTGCGTGTAGGTGTGTATGCGGGCTTGTTTGTTGCCGGCGGTTCACTCACATGCGTCTGTTCATGCGTGACTGTGTCACATGCGTCTGTTCATGCGTGACTGTGTGTTTAGGGCTGATTGACCTGCCACGCGGCTGCCACCGTCGCTACACATGCAGGAAGACCCACTTTGACGTACATCGCTCCAAACGTAAGTTTTTGCATTTCTTCCTCGCAGGTTGCATTGCTGCCATCCGAGCGTGCTTGCAACACACACACACACACACACACACACACACACACACACACACACACACACACACACACACACACACACACACACACACACACACACACGCACACACACACACACACACACACACACACGCACGCACACGCACGCACGCACACGCACGCACGCACACACACGATGACCACCACACTCGTCACCAGTCATCACTCCGTGCAACCATCAACATTTAAATTCATTCTCACCACCTGCGCCCCTGTCCCCTTCGCTCTTGCACCTTCACAGATGAGCGGTGCACGCGCTGCCGTTCCCTGTACATTTGTCGCCACTTTCCCACGTTTGTCTCCAACCGTAAGTTGCTGCACCACTTGTTGGCGTTGAGCCTTTCTTGCTTTGTCATGACGCCTTCAACCTACACAACACATACACACACGACACACATACACACACGACACATACACACACACATGATGTTGGCTCACGCCGTCTCCCCCCCCCCGAAAACACGCACACACATACACACACACTATGGCATGTTATGCAGTGCTGACCATGGCTTTGCAGAAGCGAAACATCCGTGTGCCGGTCACCTTTGCGTGATGCGCAGCAGTGCTGTGCTCGCCATGACCAACACGATGATGATGATGACCATGACAACCGCCGCGAAGATGATGGTGATGATGATGACGACCATGAAGACCGTGAGGGCTGTGGATGCACCACCTTGCCGGCAAACGTGCTGCACCCACGTACCTGATGACACCACCGTCCGATGACATCACTGTCTTACTTCGCCTTCCCCTTTTCTCTCTCTCTCTCTCTCTCTGTCTCTCTCTGTTAGGAGGAGATCACGTGCGAGTGCAAGTTTGTACCCTTGCTTGCTTGCTTGTGTTTGTTCTCCCCTTCGTTCCCCTTCCTTTCTATCTAGCTATTCCTTCGTTCGTCTCCCCCCCCCTTCGCCTTTGCACATGCGTGCATGGGTTGTGCCAACTTCCCACCGTGTTTTTTCTCCTTGCTTGCTTCTTTCGAGTCATTGCTGACTTCTTTCGTTGTGCCCATCATGGCTCGCTTGCTTCGCTCTCCTCGCGTGTTCAACGCCGAGATGCGTCATTGCGTGTAATTGTAATCCCCGCCTTCTTCCTGCACCTTGTGTGCTTGATGTGTGCTTGATGTGTGCTTGATGTGTGCTTGATGTGTGCTTGATGTGCGTGTGTGTACACACACACACTACTCATCTATCTCGCTCAGGTCATGTCTGTGGTGAAATTGCTTTCCCGCACTTGTTTGCCATTCTCGTGTGTAGCTGTATTCGTCTCCCGCCGCCCTTTTCGCCCCCTAGCATCTAGCTATTCGCCCACCCCCCTCTTTTCTCCATAGACGACATGTTGATGACAGTGTGTGTGCTCTGTGATTGCTCTGCTCTGATGAGCATTTATTGCGTGTCTGTGTGCCGTGTGTGGGCTTTGATGTCCATGCACCCCTCTGACCTAACAGCCCTGCCAACCATCTCACAGTACAAGAGAACCAACCAAGCATGCAAGAGAGAGAGAGAGAGAGGGAAGAATGTGTGTGTGTGTGTGTGTGTGTGAGTGTGTGTGTGTGTGTGAGTGTGTGTGTGTGTGTGTGTGTGTGTGTGTGTGTGTGTGTGTGCGTGTGTGTGTGTGTGCGCACGTTGTTGCAACAACACAGTTCGTTGTGTGCCCGCGCCAAAATCCACAAACAACCGGCACACAAACAACAAACAACAACAGCAACAGCGAACAACAAACACGCGAAGCAAAGCCCCCCCCCCCCCTCTCGCACACACGCACGCACACACACACACGCACGGCAGAGCCAGTGCTCCGATGCGGCGCGGGCATGTCGTTGCCCTCTGCCCTGTCTCTTCAAGACCAAGGGCCCCAGCAACACCAGCGCGTGCCACAGACGCAGCAGGCCCAGCGCCAGGAACCGGTAACGAAATCACAGCGGCCCCGGCCACGACGCAGCCGTGCATGCAACCCTGCCACCACTGGTCACGGTGGGCGCAGTGCCGCTGGCGAAGAGCCATCGTCGCCGACGTTCCTCCGTGACCCTTATTTGGGCCGGAAACGTGGAACGAGGGCAAAGCGACCCATCTCCCTCTCGCGCACCGCCAACAAACGCAGCAAGGCGCCAACGACTACCAACTTGGCTGCCCTCGCGTCATCGGGCCCCGTGTCCTCCACGCCTGCGACCACGCTGCCACATCCTCGCCCAAGCTCCACCACCCCACCCGTCACTCACACTGCAAGGCCCTCCAGACGCAGTCAACAGCAACCACACGACCAGCATGCTGGCGAACCATCGTCTCCTGCCACACCTGCAGACAGAACAGCAGTGGCACCACACCGCCGACACCGAACGGCAAGCGCGCCGCAACTTCTCGCCAGCCCTCCCAGAGTACAGCAGCAAGAGGTGCTGGTATCACTTCGACGGTCGCCCAACTCAACCGCACATACACATGAAGCGGACGCCGCCACCGCTGCCGCTACCACCACCACCACACAGAGCTCCCTTGCTTCGCCGCCACATTCACCTTGCGTGACAGCGCAAGCGACGCCACCGCCGCCGCCCACAACCATGACGCCAGAGGAGCACCTCAGCCCTGCTGTCGTCGCAAGCAGTGGAAGCGGTGGCGGCAACTCTAGCGGCAGCAGTAACCCGTCATACCGCGCGTGCGCCACCAACAACATCCACGCTCCAGAAGACGAGAACAGCAGAGTTGCACCAAAAGCCACGCCTGCCAACCAAGGTGCTGAGCGCTCAGCGACGTACAGCTGCCTCTCATCCCTCTTGCCGTTTGCACAGAGCCAGCTGTGTATTCCAACACGACACACTGTAGGGCATGATGATGATGGTGGTGGTGATGAGCATGACTTGTGTAGTGGAGACAGCCAACGAATGGTCGCGTTGGGTGGTCGCGATCGAGGAGAGGATGATGAAGAAGCGAGAACAGCTGTGAGGATGAAGGACAGGCAACAGCACATGCAACAGCCCGCAGACTCGGCACTTGAGACCCGCTCATCAACACGAGCATCAGCGCCAGCGACTGCCACTGATCAGCGGGCGAACAATCACACATATGCAAACAAGCAGCCGCAGCCGCAGCAGCAGCAGCCGCAGCGAGGGCGACGACGGCAGGGGTTTCTGGTGTCTGCGGTGAAGAACAAGGTATTGCACGAAACACCCGTGTCGGAGACAGCCCGGGCACCCACGCACTTTACACCTTCACACCCACAACGGCGTCAGCAGCAACAACAGCACACATTGACGGCGCTGGGAGTTGGTGAGGATCAGCATCAGGACTGCATGACATGTGATGATGGAATGAACAGGCTCATACGCGACGACAGGAGCAAGACATCCAAGGACAAAGTTCACGCGTCTGCTGATGATGCTGTGACCGATATTGATGCTGATGATCATGATGATGGTAGTGATGGTGGTGGTGATCATGTGGACCGTCATGGTAATGATACACCGCACACACCAGCAGCATCACCAGCAGCATCACCATCACCATCACCATCACCATCACCATCACCATCACTGCCTTCAACGCAGGCGTCCCCGGCGGAACACGATCGACTGTCCATGTCGTTACGATCGCGCTTGCGTGCACGGATTGAACAGCAGCAGCATGATGGCGCTGATACGGCAGGAAGACGCGATGGCACGAGGCTTGCGTTGTCTGATCGTGGACGTGATGGTGGTGGTGGTGGTGGTGGTGGTGGCGACAGCGATGATGACAGTGGCAGTGATGCTGATGCTGATGTGAAAGCCGTGGAACGACAACGACAACAACAGCAACAACAACAACAACAACAACAACAACAACAACAACAACAACAACAACAACAACAACAACAACAACAACAACAACAACAACAACAACAACAACAACAACAACAACAACAACAAGACAATAATGAGGATGACACGTGGGCGCATCTCTTCGCCCCACCATCGTGCCCCATTTGCAATCAAACGTTTGACGAAACCGTGAGCCACCACCAGCGCAACCAACACGTCAACAGCTGCTTGGATGGCTTTGATCGGCACTCTGCCACACACCCTCGTGCTAGCACTTTCCCAGACGACCCAAACACAGCCCCTGTCGCAACATCCGCATCCACATCAACACCATCAGCGATGGGTGCTGCTGCTGCTGCTGCTGCTGCTTCGACCATGACACGACCAAAGCGAGGATTTAGCATACACGTGTCAGCAGCTTCAACACTCCAGTCGTCGGCAACAGTACACAGGACAATGACGACTACCTCAAAGACGTCGATGCTGGTGGGGATGGTGGAGAGGGCGAGCGGAGCCGCGTCGAGCGCGGAGTTGACCATGTGCCATGTGTGTCAGAAGGACCTTAAACACATGTCCGGATCTTTTCGCCAGCGCCACATTAACCGGTGTCTCGACAGCTTGGAGCGCACGGTGAGGTCCCGTGTCTGTCTGTGTGTGTGTGTGTGTGTGTGTGTATCTGTCTGTCTGCCTGTGTGTGTGTGTGTGTGTGTATATGTGTGTGCCGACTCCCATGAACCGATGTTCGTGAGCCGGGCGTAACGAAAAACCGGACCTGAGCACGGTAAAGACGCTGCTGGCTATACATAAGCCTTTGTTTCTAAATGGGCATAAGAGTAGTGTACGTTCTGGGGGTCCCAGCTGCGTTCTCACACGGACTTAGGGACACGATTTGACCAGACTCGATAAAAAAGGTGTTACTTAGCAAGAGGGCTACGAGTAGTGAGCTCCATATCTGTCTGTCCGCGTGTGTGTGTGTGTGTGTGTGTGTGTGTGTGTGTGTGTCTGTCTGTCTGCCTGTGTGTGTGTGTGTGTCTGTCTGTCTGTCTGTGTGTGTGTGTCTGTGTGTGTGTGTGTGCGGAGCTTTCATGAACCTCACCCCCATCCCCTCTTCGTGCTGACTTGGATGTGACCTCCTATTCTGTATTAGTTGACCGCAACGTCAGCATCCCGTGGACGCACCAGCACCTCGTCGTCATCATCGTCCTCGTTGACAAGCGGTGTCCCCGTTGTCTGCCCGCTCTGCTCCAAGCCACTGGCAAACTTCAAACGCCAAACAAGGTCTGGTGTGTGTGTATGTGTGTTTGTGCTTGTGTGTGTGTGTGTGTGTGTGTGTGTGTGTGTGTGTGTGTGTGTGTGTGTGTGTACTTGGTTGGGCGTACTTGTGCTTGGGTGCGTGTCAGTAGGTTCGCGCACTCGCACATTTGCCTTACTTGCGTGTTCTCACCGTCAAAGGCTTTGTTTCGAGGCACACACACGCTCTCCCTCCCTCTCCCTCTCTTCTCTCTCTCTCTCTCACTCTCTCTCTCACACACACACACACACTCACGCACACACGCACACACACACACACCCTCACTTCATGCCTTCTTTCACATCATCTCTACAGGATCTGCCATCTCAAGAAGTGCGCACGAACGCATTCACTGGCAACGGCGGATCTGATTGCTCTCTTGCGCAGTGGACACACACACAGCAGCATCACCGCCGCCACTCTCTCAGCATCACTCGCACCATCATCGTCATCATCGTCATCATCGTTACTCGCATCCACCACAGCACCGCGAACACGAACGCGGGCGACACACACACGGACACAAGTGACAGCCACCAGTACCCGCACGTCAACGAAGCGAGCGGCTTTGACACTTGACCTCAGCGAGCATGTTGGTGCCACCTGTGGTGGTGATAGTGGTGGCAGTGACGATGCTGATGATGATGCTGATTCAATGCTGCCGCCAAGTGGCCTCTTTCCAGACGCCCACGATGCTCACACAACAACAGCACCACCACCACTACCAACAACAACAACAACTGCAACAACTGCAACAACTGCTGCACCACCACCACCACCAACAACAATACCACCATCATCGTCAGCGTTGTCGCCATCACAGTGTCATCGCCTTGATGGTGGTGGTGGCCGCCGCACGCTGGTGCGGTCCCAGTCAACACCGTCACCGCGACGAGCAAGGCAACATGGCAGTGGTAGCAATGACAACAGCAGCGCCAACACACACCACCACCACCACCACCACCACCAACAACAACAACAACAACAACAACAACAACAACAACAACAACAACAACAACAACAACAACAACAACAACAACAACAACAACAACAACAACAACAACAACAACAACAACAACAACAACAACAACACCTCACGCCGTCACAAGAGGTGTTGTCGCTGTCGTTCAAATCCCCGCCGCTCTCTGGTGACGATTTCGCGTCGCCGACAAAGGTGAAACGGTCGCGATCAGCGAACGCAGCCGTGAATACACGCACACGCACGCGCGCACGAGGAAGAGGTGCAGGCAGGGGACGACGAGGAGGAAGAGGAAGCAAAGGAAGCACGGAGAACACACCGTACGACGATGGTGGTAGTGGTGGTGGTGATGATGGAGAGGAAGATGGTGTTGGGCGTGGTGGAAGAAGCAGACAACCCACCACCACCACCAACATCACATGCACCAGTCGCAGCAGCAGAAGCAATAGCAGCGGCGATGGAGGGCGGCGTCGTTGGAGCGGTGCGGACATGGATGGCGTGTTTCCAAACATTGGCCGCGTGCGTCGCCCCTCCTCTCGTGCCCGCAGAAGAGGAAAGGGAGGACAGCTGGACAAGCGGAGACATGTTCCACCGCTGCTGTCCTGTGATCGTGAGGACTACACACGTGTCCTCCAGCGCCGCGTTGAACTGGTGTGTGTGTATCTATGTGTGTGTGTGTGTGTGTGTGTGTGTGTGTGTGTGTGTGTGTGTGTGTGTGTGTGTGTGTGTGTGTGTGTGTGTGTGTGTGGTGTGTGTGTGTGTGTGTGTGTGTGTGTGTGTGTGTGTGGGTGTGGGTAGCCACTCTTTCTGTCTTTGCGTTCAACCCAACGTCTTTGCCACCAATGCCCTCTCCCACCCAAAACATTCACACCATCACCGCCGTCATGGTTCATTGGTTGCATGTGCAGGTGTTGTCTGCGTGTGATCGGCACTTCAACGGAAGCAGCCAGACAGCGCTGCTATCACAGCACACCGTCCAGCACATGTGCACACGTCGACCCCCACGATCATGGGTGCTGCTGCAGGGTGCTGCTGCTGTTGCCTCGGGCGCGTACAACATCGCGCCACTCTGTCACACGTCCATGTCTGAGACCCATCCCGCGCTCGGCAAAGCCAGAAGCGCAAGCAACAACAGCAACAGCGGCAACAACAGCAACAACAGTGCCCCCAAGAATAGCAGCACCAGCGCCAGCAATGGCAGCAAAGCAGCGGATAATGCTGACGTGGTGGATCGTCATGGGGAAGAGCGGAAACAAGCGCCAGATGTGACGAGCGTTCGCAGTGATGACAACACGAGCAGCAACAACAGCACCCACAGCCGTGTTGATGGCGATGACGATGACGATGATGGTGATGATGACGGAGGGAGCAAGGCTGGGCGTGGTGAGTTTGGTGAGCTGTGTTCGTACGACGGAAGGATGGACAGTCACTTGCCACACATGGAGTCGCCAACACAGAGCCAGCGGGCGAGAGGTGCTGCCATGTTCAAGACGACACACGCGCACGCGACCACAGAGGAGGAGAAGGAGCAGCCACCACCACAACAACAGCAGCAACAACAACAACAACAACAACAACAACAACAACAACAACAACAACAACAACAACAACAACAACAACAACAACAACAACAACAACAACAACAACAACAACAACAACAACAACAACAACGAGGACGAAGGTTAGTGCGCGTGCGTTTTGAAGGCGGCGCCTCGCGTCTTGGACAGCTGCTGTTTGAGCAGACGCAAACAGCAGCGGAGTGCTGCGATGTTGTGTTTCGTGTGCACCCGCCACTATCAACATCAAAAGAAGCGATACCAACTGCAACAGCAACAGTAGCAGTGGCAGAAGCAACAGAGTTGCAGCAAGCGCGAAACAAACCACAGGCGGGCATCGACACACCAACGCATCGACAAAAACATCGCCACCCCCGCCACCAGCGGCAGCAGCGGCAGCAGAGGGAAGAACGAGCAGGGGAAGCGGTGGATGTGTTTTGTCATCGCGCTGTGCTGGAAGCCATGCTGCCACGAGACACGCTGCACAACATACTTCATGGCAGCGGTGGAGGGGGTGAAGGTGATGATGGCGAAAGTGGCAATGTGCGCACAACAACAGCCTCCACCGCAACCCACCACCATCACAGCCATCACAGGCATCACGCACGACGGGTAGTGGAGGTGCGTGGGAGCAACCCACCCCCACCAGCGGTGCTGGTGTGCGCACTGCAGCTGCTGTACACAGGCACCTGCCGCGTTGAGGCAACTCACGTCGACGCTGCCTCGTCGCTCCTGTGCTCCTGGGGCCGAGGTGATGTGGCCGCGGCACTGACGCAGGCTGCTGCTGCTGCTGCTGCAGGTCGTGTTGATGGTGTTGATGGTGGTGATGATGATAGCGATTGTGTTGGTGGTGGTATTGGTGGTGGTGATGGTATTGGTGATGGTGGTGAGGACGGCAGCACTGCGACTCGCTCTGGTGTTGGCCGTGATGATCGCGATGATAAAGGGCGCAACAACACCTGTGACCCTCACACCAGCACCACCAGCAGCAGCAATTTGCTTGCAAGCAATCAGGAGGAACCAAGCGCAGCAGCAGCGACAAGCACAGATGCAAGCACCTCCATCCCCATCACGACGACGAGCACGAGTGGGCGTGCGCCATCACGATTCTCGTCGCAGTCGTCCAACTCCTCCCTGCCGGATCTTGGTCTCACAGAAGCAGCAGCAGTCCAAACGCAGCGGCAGCCCCGACCGTGCGACAGTGATGATGATGGTGGTGATGGTGACAGTCGTGATGGCATTGGTGGTGGTGATGATGATGATGGTGATGGTGATGGTGATGGTGGTGAGTCACCGCCCGCTTCGTTGCCCCCGAGCGGCTTGCTGCCCAGCACCAGCAAGGATGAACAAGTTACGGGCGTGATTCATGTGGATGATGACGACGACAAAGGCGGTGAACAGGACGATGACAGCGACGACCGCGATGGTAACAGCAGTGACAAGGCCGCCGCTGGTGCTGCCACCACCAGCGGCAGTGCCAAACACAACCCTCTCATGACACGTGATGCAAGCAACACGAGCAGTGGGGAGAAGAAGAACAGTGGTGGCAGCGCGAGCACAATTGACACTGGCATGATACAAGACATGCTGGACGAAGACACGATGCTGTACATGTTCGAAAACAGCATGTACGATGATGATGATGATGACGATGGTGGTGGTGTTGATGGTGGCGGTGATGATGGTGATGGTGATGGTAACAGTGTGGTGGCTGAAATGTTGCCGCCAAGCCCTTTCGGCGTTCATGACAACAACAACAACGAGGACGATGTTGACGATGACGTTGATGATGATGGTGATGATGGTGAGGATGATGATGATGATGACGATGATGATGACTCGCTACCATCATTGTTTGCGTCAAGCCGGTATGATGCACAGCTGGCCAATCACAGCAGTGACAGCCACGATGATGATGATGATGATGATGATGATGATGATGATGACGACGACGACGACGAAAACGCGATTGTTCACGCCACCGATGATGATCATGACAGTCGCAATGCCGTGGCGGTTGTTGTTGGCCGCAAAGACGACAATCACAACACCAACAGCGACGACGGTGATGATGATAGCAACAGTGATGACAATGACGATGACGATGAGATGCGTGCGCTGCGCCGTGCTGTGCGTGCTGACGTGGAGCTGTACGAGCACGTGCTGTTGTATCGGCCAATCCCGCTTGCACGCATCCGCGCGTGTGCGACGATGGCGGGCATGCGACGCTGGGGCGAAGACAAGCTGAAGCGCTTCTGTAACCAACACGGCATCACATACACAGCCGACGATGGTGGCGGTGGACGGACGAGACGGAAACGGCGCACGCAGCGGCGAGCACCTCGTGCGCAGAAGACCACGGCCAAGCACAGGGGTGGGAGAAGCAGGGCTGGGAGAGCAGTGCTGACACAGGTAGCATGATGCGTGCGTGTGCGTGTGTGTGTGCGTGTGTGCGCCTCCTTCTTCTCTCCCCAATTAATTCGATTTCCAAGTTTTGTGTGCCTAACTTAACCATAGCTGGCTAGCTGGCAGGCAGGTTTCTGCCATTGCTACGAATAAACGAAACAAGACTGCTTTGCGGCTCCGCTCATCCACAGTATCACACACACACACACACACACACGCACGCACACACACACACGCACACACACACACACACATACGTTTCTTTCGTTTGAATTGAGGGGAAAGACGGATGAGACATCGTCTTGTGTGTCGCGCAGAGGCAGACTCCAAAAAGTGGGGTGTACGCAGACACATGCACACACACCGTGAGCACTGACACACACACATGCACGCAGCCACAAATAACACAACGGGAGAGGGGAGTTGAGGAGGAACGAGGTGCAAAAACCAAACGAAACATAAAGGCATGGGAAACGCTGTGCGCGGCAAGGGCGAACCTTTCAGCCAAGTGTGGTTGTGAGCCGGCCGAGTGATGGCACTCAAGGCACAGCCCACAGTTTTGCCAGGGCTGGCGCAACAGCAAAGGGCACGCCTTCAAACAAGTCGTTCGACCTCACAGGAAGCACAAAAGGACAACGTGTACCACGAAACAAACAACTGACATGGCGTGTGGCCACTGCAATGTGCCCACGGATGTGTGTGCAGCGAATGCATGCGATTGAAGCGACTGACTGCCCACAAAACCACTGGACAACACAAACCAACGAACCAAACGACCAACCAGCCGAGAGAACCGCTTTTGCTCCACCCAGCCGCCAAGGAGCTGTCTTTCTTCTTGTTGATCTCAAGGCCTCACGTTGAAGCAAGACCTTGGCGCAGGGAAGAAACAACCGTGTGCGAAAAAACGCCTGCTTGGGGAAGTTCGGAAACATCTTAGGGTTAGATCGACGCTGCGCGCTTCCCTCTCCCTGTTCCTCCTCTTCTCAGCCCTGCTTGCCACGCAACGCGTTGACAAAGCACAGAGACAGCGAAGGAAGTGGGGCAAGGATTGGTCACACAACAGCATCGTCTGAAGGCGTGCGGACAAGCCAGCCTCAATAACAAGCACCCATGGCGGATGAAGGAACAACACGGTGGCCTCTTGGTTTGGAGGAACACCAACAAAAGAAAAGGAAAGCCAAAAGACAAGGTGTGAGGCACACACATACATGTGCAACGCACCAGAAGCAGCGCAACACTCATCACAACACACAACACACAACACACAACACACAACACCAATATCACACTGAACAGTCAGCCGTTCGCATCACGGCTGTCTCCGCTGTTTTCAGCGAGACAACTGACTGGTGGTGAGGAAAAGTTTCAACATCTTCCAAAAACAATCTACAGTGTCGGCGAACAGCAACACAAGACCTGCTCGACCACGCACACGTTGTCCTTCGCGCACGCACATACCCCTCTCGTTTTGTTGGTGTGTGCATGTCGTGGCGAAGCGCAGTGCAGTGCAGTGAGGTGCAGTGAGGAGGAGCTGTTGGAGCACAGGAGACAAGAGTACGAGTGGCTTGGGCGTGCTTTTTTCTTTTGTTTTGTGTGGGTTTGGGGGTGGGATGTGCAAAGCAAACAAGGCACAACACGCGGCAATCCTTGGTTTTGATTTCCTGTCCGGTTCGGCCGTTTGGCGTGAGCGGGCTTGGCGCATTTTGACGTGATGCACCCACCATCATCAACACGCGTGGAGGAGGAGGAGCAGCAGCAGCAACAGCAGCAGCAGCAACAACAACAACAACAACAACAACAACAACAACAACAACAACAACAACACACACAACACGACAACACA